TTTTTTTTTTTTATTTTATCAACCCATTAGTGTTACGTTCTATTTCAAGCTCTGTTTCAGAATTCAACTATTCAAATAAGGGATGTTTCAATAAGGGAAAGACTGAAGATATCTTCCTGTGAAACGGCACTTTGTAGCAGTAGGGATTGTGATCTTTCAACCACAAATGCGAGTTTAAAGTTCGACAAAACGGGAGGCATGAAAACATTGCCATTCTACTGTCACATGCTTCTCGAAACAGCATACCTAACTGGCTATGGCAGCAGCATTACAGTTATAGAGTCCACAATTCACCCGTACGAACATGCCTATCAACACATTCATACCTAAGCTTGACACAAAGCCCCCATACAGACAATACGCATTTTGTGAAATTGAGATCAATGCCTGCATGTCCAGGTATCCAATGACACCATGCTATGGTAAACCGTACACCCTAAATGTCAAACAACTTTACTCATCAATTAAACGCACGCAAGTCATTTAGTGCGGTGCACTAAACAGATCCACATTTAGAAATCTAAATATTATAAGATTCTGCACCTTAGTCCTTGGGCTATTGAAGTGGATATTAGGGTTACTCGTTTGCACTGCCGCAACAAAAGGGTCCAATAACATGCAATTGAAAAGAAAACTGTACAAAACTGCATACTACATAATCAAACATCAACTAAAGAAGTTCATGAGAAAAGAATTAATTCAGTAATAAAATCCAAACACACTACCCAAAAGAAAGGGTAGCGGCTTTTCCCTATTCCAAAATTTCAGAATCAAGGCGAAAATTACGAGGCCCCACAGCTGATTATAAATAATAGCACACACAATATGTATGCACCCACTATTCCTACGATAATGTACACAGGACTAAAAGGGCATGCACGACTAAGTTCACACCATCCCAAACCAAGATGGGTACACAAAGCCCAACAAAAGTTGAATGAAAATAATATTTGTAGTTTTCCACAAACTTTCTCCACCCAACAACATTCAAAGCATAAGTACCTTGCGTGGTCTCTATTCCATCCCAAGGGACAACCAGAGTATGTCAGCGAAATTGACCCGCATGCTCTTTCGACTCCATCTCCCTAACACTCTCCACAATGTCCTCAATCTTCTTGGCAAGTGACTGATTGTGCTCCTCAATATGTTCAAAGATCATCTCTAGATGCCGCTTGTAAGTCGCAACTTTCTTCTTCTCGATCGCCAGCTGCTGGGAAAGCTCTCGGATTTTGTCGTGCTCGTTTGGGTACTGGTCATAAATTAAATCCTTCCGCACTTTACCCGGAGTAAGAGGATGTGTGTGCTCCTTAACGAATTTTGTGACAACCCATTTTCCGGAACTCACTTTCCTAACTAGAATCATGGCCCGGCAGCCGACCCTCGTCTCGGCCCTCTGCCGCACAACCTTTTCCCGTTTGTCGGGCATCCGGAAGCCCTCTTTGTTGCAGACAAGAGCCCGGCCGATGGTGGACCCATCACGCCTCGACCGGGAAAGTTTGCTGACACGAATGACAAAACCTACCCTGGTCGCGTATGAATTGTAAAATGTGTGGGCCGCGGCTTCAGACTCGAACTCTTGACCCACGTATGGTTCACCTTCGGGTGCTGAGCAATTGATATCCTGTAAATCCTCCAACTGGAAGAGTTCCCGTTCAGAAGAATCATCAACGTCCACTTTAATATCGATCCCCGGCTGAAACGAAGCATCAGCATGAGTTTCCACAACGGCGTCATCATCGTCTGGCTGTCTTTCAAAATTAGAAGAGCTTCCCACTGTCTCACCGTTTACAACACTTTCTATCTCATAATCCATTAAGAACTTGAGCTGAAATTAGGCCCAAGATTTGGCTAAAATATCGAGAATATACCTGAAGAGTTAACAAGTTTGCAGATTAGCTTATGTTACTAAGATCCAAGGAGGTTAAGCAATCTCAAGAAGCTTTTTTATTATTATGTTTAAGAATTTTATGGCTTGAATTATTATTGAATAATTCAAAAAATCGACTTTCAAGATCAAGAAAATCCTAATTAACAATTTTATGAAGAAACACAATGTTGCCATTTATAACCTGATCGGTCGCACGAGGAAAGGCATAATTAATTATTAACCAAAATCGAACCACAAAGAAAGGGTGTTGACGAAAAAAATCCATGAAGTGCAGAAGTAGGGATTGATGTTCTAATTGACATTATATAAACAATTTTTCATACACTATCCAATACATGTATGTCTATGTGCACATAAGCTTCAAGGAAATACTAGGATAGGATTGCAACAAGATAAACTCAGGATCAAACAAGTCAAGCCCATATTCTATTCAACAATTTAGTTTTACTCCATGGAACTAACAAGAAATTGCAACACTCCATCAAGAATCCTAAAACACCATCAATCTCCAGTAATTATGTCCCACTTAATGTCGAATGATTAGGCAAAGATTTTACTGTTGAAGATGTAACAACTTATACATTTCAAGCATGGGAAAAAAAATGTAAAATTCAAAAGAAAAGCAAAGCAGGTGAATCACAGATTTGCAACTCAAGCTAAAGCATCAATTAGCACGCGGATTAACAACGACACAAAGTCTTCACGGAGACAAACAGTAAATCGGGAAACGAGAAAACGAAAAGGCAGAGGAAAGCAATAGAACGCATATCGGTAGGGGATCATGGCTGCTCTGCGCGTCAAAATGAAGCAATCAAACTAAATCTAGACAGAGGGGGGAAGCATACGAGAGGCGAAAAGGCCCGGTCGCGGTGGTACTGTTTGGCGTGGCCGCCGCTGACTTCGAGGCCACCGTCGGAGACGAGCTATTGAGACGGCGGAGTGGAGAAAAAAGGGAGATGAGATTTGCTACTGCATTTTATGTCTCAGGGCAAATTCGTCCTCCCGAGTCCCGAGTCCCGACTCCAGACTGCGTTGTGCAAATGAATTTGCTCTTTTTTTTATTCTCTCTCCCTTTCGGTCTTTCCACTCACTTTTTCAAATAAAGAGGTAAATTATATATGAGGAAATAGCTATCTTCACCCTGTTCTGAAGTCATATTAAATTTTTCACACCATCCAATAAAAAGTTAAGTTTTTCACCTCAAAAAGTACGAAGACATATGCGATTACCTATGCGATAAATAGGCGACAGATATGAGCATGGGCGAGAAAATTATGAGTTAAAGTATGCGACTGTTCTACGATGAATATGTGGAGATTCGATGTACGATTCGGTCAATCGCGGTCCGTTGCCCATTAAATAATTATTCTTGTTAGGCGAATGAATCTGCGACTATTAGTCGAAAAAATTATTCTGCGACACAACTGCGACATACCAACGTCGCATATTATTCGCAGAGTTGGTGTATAATAAGTTCTTTTTTGTGTTTCTTTCATCTTTCAGTTATGCGAGGGGGTATGCGAATTTCCGCATATTGCTCGCATACCACCTTCGCACTTCTACTCGAAAGTTTATTTTTTATTTCTTTCATCTTTCAGTTATTTCAGTTATGCGATGGTGTATGTGAATTTCCGCATATTGCTCGCATACCACCTTTGCACTTCTATTCTAAAGTTTATTTTTTATTTCTTTCATCTTTCAGTTATTTCAGTTATGCGATGGGGTATGCAAATTTCCGCATATTGCTCACATACCACCTTCGCACTTCTACTCTAAAGTTTTTTTTTTTTTTTTTTTTT